GTTCAAACAAACAAAAAGGAAATATTTTGTAAGTAAACTCCTAGTAGGCAATAAATGCATTTATTATTTATTTTGCCAACGTTTACTTTCTTACTGCAACATGCGATATTAAAATTACAAATAAACAGTGAGACTTGAACCTGCAGTGTCCAGAGACTGTTTGCGACGTCCGGGATCTCTTTGCGACACTGGCTGCAAATCAGTGTTGTTGTTTTTTTTCGGCTCGGACGCGATACACGTCATTGTATCCATTGCGCGTGCTCTGCTGTCAGCTTATAAAAGTTAGTTATCACTGCTGCAACAATGCGACCGACTTAGCCGAAGCACCGAGGCGTATAATCGGCTCTAGACAGCACCGAGGAGGAGGTCTGCAGAGGGAATGACACATGGCTTGAGAATGAATGGTCACGCTCGCCATGCAGCTCGTGAGTGTTCAGAGACAGAGTGTCTTCAACTTCAGCAGGTGATGGCAATTCCTGTGGCTGTCCTTTCTTTTTAGACATTTTGACTTGTCATACTAGGGGAGGAAAGTGTTTATAATCGATCACATTAATAAGACACTGCAGTTAGCATGCATTACACCATCGCAGGGAATCCACAGAACAGCTAGCACCATTACAGCTGTGGCTGTCCTGATGAAATGTGTTCAGTAAACAAAAGCACTATGCTCCACGATGGAGCAGGTTTAAGGTTGTCTATTTAGGGACAGTGTTTTTTTGTTTCTCCACCTGGTAGCTGTCAGCATATTTGTTATATAATGAAATCCCACAAGATGGCGCTGTTTAGCCACGTTATATCAGCGCTGATTTAATTCATTCTCTATGTCAGCAATACAATCACTAGTTTCACAATCTCAGTGCAGTTGCACCCCACAAGCATTCAAACTACACGGACACTCTCGTTGCGATTAAAGCCCCATCAAACGAATAAGAAACAACGAAAATATATGATATTCCTACTGACCTGATTCGTCTTTTATTACAATATGTAAGACTACTAACACAATCTGTTTGGATGTTTTCTGATGCTTTTAAAGATTTGTTTACCTTTTTAAACACACTAAAACAGCCCTGTCTAGTTATAATCAGCAGACAAACATACAAACTTGATTCGTTTTTAATTGTTTCACCTACAAGTCAATCTCTCCATTTAAACCTGTTGTAAAAAAACACTGTTTTTTGGCATCTTTGGTGAATCATGGGACCCTGCCACTGAGATTAATGGCATACTGTGTCTATAAAAAGCCAAGGGACTCGTCTTTAAGCTGTGGTGGGAGGGCCCCATCCAACCAGTTAAACAACACTTTTTCACTTCTGCTTCTCTAAGGAAGTACAAAGGCACATGACCTGGGCCAGCTGATTTGAGTTGCTCTGCTTGTAGTTCAGTCGGCTTGCTGGAGATTAGTAAGGGGCGGGTAATTTTACAGAAGGGTCAACACAGCAGGCGCTAGTCATGTCTCCGCTTGTCTTCTGGAATAACACAACACAGATGACAGCGTCCTTGTAGAGCTAGGAATAATCAGATGGCTCTCACACAAGCACAGGTAAGAGGACTTAAGCGCGTGTTACGTAAATCATTTTCCTTTTGAACTGCATAGCAAAGGTGGCTATCAATAGGAATGTGTGTTACTTTTCCATTTCACAAGTAACTTTGCATGCTTTTGTGTGTCTTGCTATCGGTGTCTCTGCACACAGAACATCTCACATGAGTAAACCTGAGAGTATTAATGAATTTATCTGGAATGTGAACTGCCTTTCCCTTTACTTAACCAAGCTCTGGCTTATCAGTTTAGGAGTCCACCTCTGCCAATTTCCCTTATTGTTCACCACGTGTGTGTGACTCTCAACAGAAAGTCCCCAACATGATATCAGGAATGATGAGGAAACGATGCCCTAGTCAAAGCCTGAGTCATACAGAAACAAGTCTGCTTGGGAGCAGGACTCCTCATCCACAGTTAGTGGGACAGAGAAGTGTAACACGGATTAGCAGCTTCCTGTGAGAAGAAATTCAAACTGTAGAGGAATTTTATCCCACATGATCAATAACTTTGGCGATGTTAGGGGCAACTGAGAGGGAAAGAACATCCTTGGGTTTAATCAGTGTCACATTGATTTGATTTTGTACAACAAAAGGTCCCAATTTGCCATCTTTTGCATATGTGCACCTGAAATTGTCAAATAGATTGAACTTGCAAGTGACAGGAATGATTAGGTATTCCCAAACCGCTGCACAATTGCTGTTGTCTTAACAGGAGAAAATAATGAAATGCAAACACGTGGTATAAAACATCTGGAGTGAAATGTGTCCATGCAACGGTGAATTTGAAGCTTGAATATTTTTTAACATCTACTTGCATTATGTGCTTTCCAGTTACTAAACATTTGGCGTCAGTTATACCATGAGGGTCCTTCACAGAGGTTGATAGCAAGTTGATGAAAATGGCACATGACTGCCGGTGGTCTGTTGCTCTATCTGGTGATTTCTCAATGCAGTGTGATAAGTGGGCTTGATGGGGGAGGGCTGAAGGTTTGGTTTGGAACAAATGTATTTGAGGAAGTGAGACAATTCAAGGGAACATTATAAAAAGACATTCAGGGTATTATGTAAATTCTAGATATCTATAAAAAGATGGAACAATCTGAGTATTTGTCCTTTTTGGCTCTTTTTTCCCCTCCAGGACCAGAGTGCTAAAGGGGAAAGGATCAATAAGGAAACCGGAGAGCTAAGTGCTTCAGGGGAGTTATCCGTCTCTGTGGAGTTAAAGGTGGAGGGCTCTTGTAGCAATCCTCAACTCCCTCAAGTGCTCAAAGAACAACTACGGGAGCTGGGAATTCACACGTACTCGAGTCCTGACCACACAACTGACCATGTCCCGTTAGAGCAGAGAGAGGAACATCTCGTCAAAGTCCTGCCTCTCTACATACAGGTACGAACCTCTGGGGACAACAATGTGTCTTTTTATCTCTCACTGTTCATCCAGGCAAACTTTTCCAGAGTTACATTTTGCTGTTCATCAGTCAATCAAGTGAGTTTTATTTTTTCTATTCGAAAATAAATGGAGACTATCAACTGGGGAATCATTAATCGATCATGGCAGGATCATTTAAAGCCACGGTTTGACATAATACCCGACCTCGAAGAGGTTCAATGGGGGGCCTCGGGTCAAACTGCTCCAGACCGCTTGAATGAAACAACGTGAGATGGCAGTCAGATGTTTGGCCCTCAGCTGATCCCATCACTGTCTCTTGAACGAATGCATATGAGGTCTCTCAGTAAACCTATACAGTTTACCCAACTGTCGCATGAAATACAAAGTTGATTCACGCCTTGCTTTTATAGTTTTCATTTGTAATTCTCTGAGCCTGAAATGCGTCAGTTACGAAGAAACCTTTTTACCCGTGCACGCACTCAGTATACATTCCATCACGTGTGTGTGTGTGTGTGTGACACCATTGATCGGGCTCAAAGCTGCAGACGTAACTATGTGTCTATGTGTGAGTATAAGTGTGTAAGCCTCATGAGCAGAATGTCGGGCCTCACTTAAGAACAGCAAACTCAGTGAAATGTGATATCCTCTTATGGAACTGAAAAGAGCATATAGCACTGGCTTCCATTATTGATAGTGTAGTACATTACCCAAATTAGCTGATATTCTACTATAATATGATTACATTCTTTTACTGCATCTCATAATGCACCAGTTGCTGTAGAGCTAGAATGTTATACATGAGTACATACAGTACATGGCAAAGTACAACCCAATGAGCACAACATTTTATGCTAATGCTTTGCTCTCCAGTTTATCTTGTGTGATGGACTGTCTCCTCTCTGATCTCAGGTCTGTGAGGATGGCGGCAGACTTGAAGGTCTGAACATAAAGGGGCTTGCAGCTCTCACTGCTGATACTGTCATCCATAACATCCACAACAGACTGGCTGAAAGACCTGCAGGTACTAACAACCGCTCGTATATATCGCAGCAAACGCAGCACCGTTTTGTTTTTCCAGGTGGAGGGACTTTCTACCTCTACTATCCACTTCTGCATTTTCAGTGTGCTGCAGTTCTTTTCCAGAATTATTTTTCTCATGTTGTAAATGTCACTGATTTCATGTTATTGGCAATGGAACATCAAAGCACAATCAGCCCAGTTAGCAAAAATGGGGAAACAACATAATCTGTAGTTCCCTTCTTGAGGTTTGGAAACTTTCTCTGATGTTACATTGATCTACTGATGTTCGGTCAGTTTTCTCTCTTTGTGTCTCCTCTGTCTCACTCCGTGTGCCTCTCTCGCTGGTTGTTAATGTATGTTTGTGGGGGTATGATGGAGAACCTTTTTTTTGTTCTAAGGGAAGTAGATGCTTCTGGTTTTTGGTGCAGCCCCTGGTATCAAGTTTAACGAGGCGCTAACATGGTGCATGGTACTTTTTAGCTACTTTGCAAAGGTGTGACATTTCTTTCTCAATTTGAGGCTCAGCAGGAACCCTTGTGTAGCACAAAAACATGACCCCTACCGAAGTAAAAACAGTATGCAAATGTTTTCTCTAAAAATAGACATGAAACTTTTACACTTTTGTGCACTTGACTGAAATGTGGATTTAGATGTTACTGGTCTCTGTTGCAGTAGAAGGTGAAGAGAAACGGCTACAGTATGTACAGTAGGCTGTGGTGTTGTCTTGATCTTGTTAATGAGTCTTTGCGGTCATGGTTCACCAGACATTGAGTCATGTTGAGTTTTTTGTTTTCAGAGGGGGCTCGTGGTGAGGTGGTGCGGTTCTTCCAGAGGCAGGATACCAAGGAGACAAACTGTGAGGCGACAGACAATCAAGGATGGCTGCTGTTAAAGTCTCTGCTGCTGCTGACAGCCGACAGCTCGGTGAGTCAAAGTTTTAAAGTGAAGTGACGTCAGGCTTCCATACTTTCAGTTGATCAATGTTGTCGAAAGCGTCTTACATTTGATGGGAGTCACTCATTCATCGGGAAATTAACTACCCATATTTACTGTATGTGAACCCTTGACTGGCATTATATTGATAATTACCACACACATTTTCACCATGTATCAAAAAATGTTTTAAACTAATTATAATAACTCGTATTGTCCTAGGACAATGTAAGTTCTTAAAATTAGTATTAAACATACATTTTAAAAATGATAAATAGCTGGAAATATTTCCTGAATTTCTTTGTCTTCAAATTGTCATCATTTGTAATGAATTATTTTGAGGTGTGACTCTAATTTATGTGTTTGTTTGTGTGTGTTTGTAGGATATATTGTCCTGTATGAACCCCGGGCTCCCTGCTGCTTTGGTGAAATGTCTGTACCTGCTAGTGTGCCTTCCAGCTGAAAAGGAGAACTTGGCCAAAGAAGAGACATTTCAGGAGCCGCTAACGCAGGTCAGTTTAGGCAAATAGCTTCACTCTTTGTATTTTTCCTCCTAATCATGCAAGCACTCACTCTAAACTTCTTCTCCAGGTTCTCCTTCAGCTCTGTAGGCAGCCAGTCAATGTGGAGAGACTGGTGGAAACTCAGGAGCTGCAGTGTCTAATCATTGGCCTCACATCACTATGGGACCAGACCAGCGCTACATGGAGACATCAGGCCTCCCGTGTCCTCAAGGCAGTCTCTGCTGCAGCAACAAGCAACACTGTCCCGAGCTTGCAAGGTGAGGTAACTTAAAAGCTATTGGGATAAGTAACATTTCTGTTTATCTTGTAGTTGTTTAATTGTTCTGCTACCTAGTTATGATAGGTTGTATTTCATCAGTTCCACTGAATACATAAAGTATTATATATATCAGAACACAGGCTGCATAGAACGTGAATTATATGTTATTAGGGAAAGTTATTTGTGCAGACGGATATTTGTATTCCAGTAACGGGTTGATTATTATACAGGGACACATGACCACGAATCCCAGCAGAGCAACATACTGCAAATACGTTTCACATGATGCCTCCATCAGTCCAGATAATTCACTTAAATGTGAATGTTCTAGTAGTACACACACGTTTCCGTTGATTTGTTTTGGACACCAGGAAATCATCAGCATTCTCCAGCATGAGATTTTTGCTCTTTGCTAAAGAATCATCAATCTCTAGAGGTTTGTTAAACCTGGGTGAAGACAGGAGATTTTATTGTAGCATGTACTGTATCTCTGAAAAACTGTGTTTTAGTTTATTTTAGTTTAATTTGATTTGAACATCACAGTAGCTTAATTAAGGACCAGATGCACCGTGTTTATTGTTTGTAGGGAAATGCCAATTTGCCAAATGTTCTTGATCTCTATCTGTATTGTTTATCTCTGAGCAAATTACTACTTCACTAACCAAGAACATTTCCTCATTAGGCAAGAACTGTGTTCGTATCTGCATCCAGAACCTGTTGCACATCAGTGCTGATGTCTCAGGGTCGCTGCTGGCTGAGGTGGCTGTGGCTGTGTTCAGCTTCATTAGGGACACCTATTCTCTCAATCCAGCCCTCTTTGTGGAGTTTGACAACAATGATGGCTACAAGGCCCTTGACATCATCCTGAAACGGTGAGAGAAAAGGACAAGAACAGAAGAAGAAAGAAACAAAGTTAATAAACATTCTTAGAAAATAGGTGGAATTTCATGGTGCAAATATATAAAGCGCCTTCAAAGGGTGTACTTTGTCTGCTCTTAGAGTCAGTAAAGAGAAATCTGCATTTTTCTCTGCTATTAATTTAACTTTACTGTTTTTGTCTCCCGTCATTATACCATCATAAGCTGTGAGGAAGGTGTTTCTGTGGATCAGTTGCAGCCTGTGGAGGAGTTGCTGGCCCTCATTGCATCTTTCACCCTGCTTGGAAAAACTGAGCTGAAAGTTGCTCTTTGTGTGACGAATCCCCAACCTCCAGCCTTCAAGTTTGACCCGTCTCTCACCAAAGGTAGGTCAACTCTTCTGCAGTTCTGCATTGTTATTCTCTGACCACCCCTCCCTAATTATCTTTAACAGTTGATTGCACCATGAGGTACCTGAACCATCCCTTCCATATTCATACTCCAAACCTTCTAATTATCATCGCATGCATGACTCAGCAAAGATCGGCTAAGGGAGGGGAATGGGCCCCCCCAAATGACCACACAGTTAATCCCTCCTTTGCACTTTTACCCTAATATAACCCACCCAAACTGCTCCGCTCCCTTTCCCTGATTTCCTACACACCTCCCCATTCCCCCACTGCTACCCCGCTGCAGTGCACAACACCCCTCAGGTTAACAGGAAGCTGAGGTGATTATGTCTGAGATGATGAAGTGGAGGCTTCCCCTCTAACTCTGTTAGGATGCTCCACATCCATTCACCACTGGCCTACAGCAACCAGCCATCTATCATAGATGGACACACACCTCCATCCAACACTCATAAATAGAGTGTCCATAATAAACACACACACACATTCAATTATACACACAGAGACACACACACACACACTCAGCATCCATCCATCACATCAAGGAGTAGATCTCTCCAGCTGAGGGACCAGGGACTGTTTTCTGCTGATCTTATTTGGCTTTGATACAATTTTGATTAAGTGTGAAAATGAATCCTATTTCTATAACCAGGTATATATTTATACGCAACAACAGTGTTTTGGCTCCCAAATCTAAGACCACCTCTAAATATTTTGACAATGCAGCCAACAAACTCTATCAAGGCAGATTATGCTACTTTTCTTTTGCCTTTGTGCATGTTTTGTTGTTTGTTCTCAATCTATCTATGTATGTATAACTCGATTGACTTATGGGATTCAGCATGTGCTCTGTGTTAAAGGTTGTTTCTAATTTATTGGTTTTCCTTTTTCTATGAAATTGACTGTCTGACCTTGCCAGAGCAAAATCTGATAAATTGAGCTTCAAAGTCAAAACATCTTTTGGCTAAATTGACCTCAGGCTGATATTGTTTTTCGCAATACTTTGTGTCATAGAATAGACAAGAAAACATTGTCTTCAAATGTGAAACGTTTGATAAACAAACATGCAGACCATATTTTATTCAATATGACCCATTTTCAAGGCCTGACACCTCCTTTGACAAGTCAAGTGTGTACCTTCACATTTTTCATTCTCCATCTCCTCCCTTTGTCTCCAGGTTTAGCAGTGAAAAACCTGCCCGCCTTCCACCTGCTGCAGGCTTCCTTGCTGCGTTCTCACGATTCTCTGCTGTGCTGCCAGCTCCTTCGAACCCTGCAGACAATATGGGAGAGGGACCCAGCCAATTTCTTCCTCTTGGAGTGGACTGTCCAGTCGCTGGCCCAGCTGGCTGCCTGCGTGTGGCGTAAACCAGCACCGGTCCAAAAACTATTCTTTTCACTGCTAGAGATGGTATGACTTGGTATGTCCCTATGCATACGTTTTTTCCAATACAACATGCATTTGAGGTTTGATTGAATACTTTCTTACAGGTGATATTTAAGTTGAACTACATCCCCCATGAGACCTTGCGGGCACTGCTGGTTGTGCTGAAGCAGAGCTGGTCTGGGACACTGGCTGGAGGAGTGGCAGGGATAGAGTTTGCAGTGGTGGCTCTCAAGTGTTTCCACAGGTGGGCTGTGCTAGTTTGTACAAATATTACTCATAATTGTTCATAATACTCCCGCTTCAAATATTTATCCTTAATTTATCTGACGCTGGTCAGAATTTGTTGTTCTGCTCTCAGTTGATAAGCACACTCAAAGATAGTTTAAATAGCAAAAGGCCAAAAATATAACCGTCTCCAAATGGTACTGCAACTGCTTGGTTAGTCTTATCATTGAGACAGATGTACACAGGGCAGGTAAGACCAGATCAAGTTGCCATTTTTTTTTGTTTTTTCAAAGATCTATCTCCTCTGCTCTGCAGGATGACGGTGCACAGTGGTATGCTAGTGGAGGCGCTGAGTGACTGGGGCCTGCTGGAGCTGCTGCTCAGCGAAATTCGTAGGAGAGCTAAAATCCTCAGGAAGGCTGGAGTTGTCTCTTCCCCTCAAATCAGTATGAACTAACACATTTGTTTCCTCAACTTCTGATGTATTCATGATTGTACAACTACGTACTCTCTCTCAGACAGAGTTGATTTTTGTGTCATAACAACATAAATATAGACAATTTGAGATTGAGCAACACACCCAGTCATGAATCACTACCTTCAATCTTTCAAAGTGAGGGATTTTGAAATAAGATTGATGTGGACCTTTGCCCTTTGGCCTGCAAATATGGATCAGCAGCCAGATTTCAGTCTTGTATGTTTACTCTGTAATTTGCATCTGAGGTTCTTGTGCTCTTTAGATCCCCAGCAGCTGCCATGTGTGGAGGACAGTGAGAGACTACTCACTACCTGTATGCTTCAAGTTGTGTCAACCCTTACTCTGCGCTCAATCAAAAACACAAGTATACAAATTCATTTCTTTTTATGACCCTTTTTTGTGAAGTTCCTTTAATTTACGTAACGGCTAGAAACTGCTGTTGTATACTTAATTCTTGCATGCGTGTATTCCAGTTTCAGTGCGAGACCTTGGTATGCTTCCCTACATAAAGATCTTCTTGGATGAGGCTCAATATCGAGGTCCCACTCTGAGCATTTTGGAGCAGCTAGCTGAAATCAACCCGGAGGAGTTCATGAGTACAGCCATAGGAGCTCTCTGCTCCTCTACACAGCAGGAACTCAGTTTGAAGCGGGACCTTTTGCAGGTACTTCCATTTCACATGCACCCGCATCCACAGACGAACAACACACAGACGCATCCAGAAACACTCAGATATGCAGTGATCTCAGCTGAACTGTAAACGTAATCTCCACTCTACATCGAATCATAACAAATTGTAATGCACTTAATACATAATAAGCTAGTGAATTTATTTTCTTAGCATGTGGGACCCTGATAACATTATAGACAAATGCAGATTGATTTGCTAAAACAGGTTTAGCTGTTAACTCTCGACCAATTTGATTAGGCTAGCAGCCTTGTGCTGTGGCACTCTGAAGATTACCACCTCTATCAGATCAGTGAATGGGACGGAGATCTGATTAAGCCTAACTAAGTTACACACCCACTGTATGTGTCTGTTTTTATAGATAGCAGTGAGAAGAGCACTTACTTGCGGATATCGTGTGTATTCAATGTGTGTGTGAATGCGTGCAACTTGTTTTGTGTGTGTGTGTGTTCGTTGTGCTAATGTGGTTAAAGCAGGTGGCAATCAGATTGGGTACGACCTGGGTTGGCAAGTGTTAAGAGCCATTGTGATTACTCCAGTTTCCGTTAATCACATTTCTGCCTGCGTTCTGCCTCACACATTACCTACCTGATGGATTAGGTCTCTAAATTGAATAAAGCTAATGTCATTTAGTTCACCTCTAAAAACTAGTTACCAGAAATGATTTATGGTATATCTATATGTTTCATCTATTTTTCATGACATTGTTTTAATTGACTCGGGGGATGCTTTTAAAAATTTGAGCAAAGCATACATTCTCTCTAAAGTATAGAATCGGCTTTGTCACATGTGTGATTAGGCTTTCGTGTGTGTAACGATACCGCATGTTCACTCTCCAAATGGTCTGTCTGACTCGTCGCTTCTGTGTTTCAGTCCGTGCGGAAGGTGCTGGAGAGCCCCAACAGCTGGGACGCCTTCAGGAGAGCAGGAGGCTTCACCGGACTGCTGTCTGTGGTGATCGACATGGAAGGAGCTCTGTGTGACCCTCCCCGGGGAGAAGTGTGGAAGTCTCTCGGGCACCAACCGCTGCTGGACCTCCTCCTCCTCACTCTCCACATCCTGGCCTTGGCTGTGCATCTTCACACAGTAAATGCACACCATTTTGAGACTGGTGGCTTTTATGAAAGGCTGGCAGAGGCTCTTCTCCAGCTGGGCTGCTTCCATGCAGAAGGCCCTGAGAAAGAGACATTTGATGAAGACGAGGGCTCCTGTCTCAAGACTGCAGAGGACAACCAGTCTCCTGGAAAAAGCTTTCACCAGTTTGTCGAGTTTGCAGAGGCCCCTGAAGCGCCCTCCTCTCCCTCCACCACACCGCAGCCCAATCTGCCTGTCTCTCTTCGAACATGTATAAGGCTGCTCTCGTATCTCGACCAGTTCGCCACAGGAACCTACTCTCCTGTGGAGTTAAACTTGGGACTAGAGCCTGAGGATGGGTGTGACGGAGATAAAGAGAAAGTAAATGGACCAACACGGCATGAAGGAGTGTATTCAGGGTCCCCTCCTGTCCACTTGGGATCAGGCCTGCAGTCCGTGGAGGACACACACGGAAGATCCAGAAACACAGCACCCAGTATTTCCTCAGTCTGCTCAGAGTCTCAGTACAGGTGCATATTTCTAACCATTTGGAGGTGGTGGAAGCTATATTCCATGCATATCTAAATTGTATTGCATGAATGGGGTCTATATTTGATCTCATATGTGTCAACCCATACTTTGTTTTGTGTTTTTTGCTTTGCAGTAGGTTCAGCTGCAATCATGTTATTCTTCATCCAGGAGCAATCCGTGTTATCATGACTCTCCTTCCATCAGTATTTACTCCCGAGGACCCACAGGTACCTTTCTACACTGAACATGTTACAGTCCCTTATGTTGCACTTTATGGAATACACGTTAGGTATGAGACAAATTGTCTTCCCTTCTTTCCCAGCTGTCTATGGAGGTCCAGTTTTCACTGGCGCACCATGTCCAGGCAATGGTTAAATCTGAGCGAAACCGCCAGATAGTGTGCGAAGGGGGGCTGGTCTCCATACTCCTGGCCCACTGTCGGAGCATGTTGCTGGCTCCAAACCACCCGTTACATCTACCTGTTACTCGTATCTTGGAGAAGCTCACCTCCCAGGCCGTCACACCTTCAGACTTCAGGTAAAACATCTGAGGTTCAGACGCATGCATGTTTTTATTGCACTGAAGATGAAGATGCTGAAGATGCTTTTTGATTTTTAAATTAATTTGTGCTCCAATCTTTGTCCTCCTCAGAAAGCTCCTGTGTTTAGGGGACCCGCTCATGTGCTGTGCAGACAAAACGGCCATGCTACGAGAACATGCACCACTGGTCAAACCTCCTGTTTCAAATGGTACAGACTTGTTTTGTTCTAATAACTTAATCTTTCTATTAATGCTTGCTCTTTACCGATGCATGTTAGATTCAATCCTCTCAAGCTTTAATTTGGTCTTTAAGACACAGACATGAATGCAGGTCACATGTTGGTTGTGTTTTCTAAACCAGATCAAAGTACAGAAGCAGATGTCTCATCAGGGTCTTCAGTTAAGAAACTGAAGCGCACTTTCAGCTTGTTAAAGTCTACAACTCGCAGTGAATCCTTTGTTGGTCCGGCAATCCCTGTCCACCAGATCGTCAGTCTGGTGACCATGACGTCGCCGCGCACCTTCAGACCACACCGAGTCTCTTCCTCACCTGCCTTTGTTGAGTTTGACATGAGTGAGAGTGGATATGGGTGAGTCCTTGATTTACTGGGTGCCTGTTTAGTCTTGCAGTATCAAATAGACTAGATGGAACTTCTCGTTATGCTCTATATAAATTAATCTTGAAACATATGTGCTGCAGAAATAAACTCTGAGGTTTGGCTTGTGAGGAAATATAAGAATTAACAAGCACTTGTAGAGATGCTGCTCAAAATGTACGTGTTCATGGTAAAAGGTCAAGACAAAGGTTTAGTTCACTGCAGTTGCCTAAAGACAAAGGCGGTCTTGCAGAACCCAATACGCTTTTTTAGAACAGGACCTGTCCCATTCGGTCTCTTTGGACTTGGTCACACTCGCATCTTAGGCTTGAAACTCATGTGGACTCATCTCTCTGTGGAGCTTAGTGGCGTGTAGGGCCAAACAAATGAAAATAAACATGAAGAATAACATTATTTACCCGGCTTGATGCTCTCTTTATTTGAATCATGGCATGACAAAAGGATTCATGTGATAGCGGATACGCTGATGTTAGCTTCAAGACAAAGCTTTTACAATTCAGGCCTTTTTGCTAATCTACTTGTAACATCAAAAAACAAAAAGTGTGTCATGCGGCGAGCTCCCATGCAATGTCTATGGAAAGCTGCGTCGACCACTCGGAGCTCAGTGAGCTGCAGCTGTTTTGATTCTGCAGCGACCAAAAGTTGTGGATATTTTAACTTTTAGCGGCTAAATGCTGCCAGAGGGTACCCACAGCCAATCAGTAAACCGTGTCCTGTGACATGTTGACACTCATGTGACCTATATTACAAAGAATTTCTGTCTGCCTGAAACAAATGAACACGCCACCCAGCCGCAGGAGAATGTAATTATTTCAGTGAGCCGCTCATCGCCACTGCCATCGCTAACACTTTTCTATTCAGTACTTTACTCATACGATAGATATGTTACAACCAGATTCTCACAGAAATGGGAGAGTGACCTGGGTAGTGAATACAATTAAGAGGACTGGCAGGAGGCGGTACATCTGGTGCAATGAACCTTCACTTGCAAAAGGCTTGCGGAAATGCACCACCACTGACTGATTGCATCTAATAACCTAGCCTTTTGTTTGTTGGAAAATACAAAACATGCAAGATTATTCATTCATTAATTTCTTGCCATGTGACGGTATTTATTTGCAGCTGCCTTTTCCTGCCCTCTCTGGCTACAGTGAAAGGAGTGACTGCTGATTCAATTTCAACAGGTGGAATTGGAGGAGGTAAGTGATGAGTCTAAATGTTTGATACATATTTGTGAATATATCTAAATAAAATGTCTAATCATCTCCTTCTTGCATATTTCAGAATGCCGGGGTTTTCCCCCTTCAGCTGGTCTCTCATTTTCCTGCTGGTTCCAGATCAACCGCTTTAGTTCAGCCTGTGATTCCCACCAAATCCGTCTCCTGTCAGTGGTTCGCCACATGTCCCGGACTGAACAACAGTACATCTGTCTGTCTATCTCCTTCTCAGCCTGTGACGGCTGTCTGGTTATCTCCACAGAGGAGGAAGCATTTACATACCTGGGTAAGAGGGATAGAAGTGGGACTGCACACTAAAAGTTACATCTTGACATCATACTGCAGAGTTTGACTGAATGTATTTCTTCATGTTTGTTTAACAGATATGATGGAGCCAGAAGTTTGCTCTCCACCTTCTTTGCCTACATCACTGAGGTTCCGCTGCTCCAGCATGCTGGTCCCAGGTCAGTGGCACCATCTGGCTGTGGTTATGGCCAAAGACATGAAGAAGACCTGTATTGCTTCAGCCTACATCAACGGCAAGGCAGTGGGGACAGGAAAGGTATGACAAGAGGAGGGAAGCTGAGGAGCTAATAATTGACCTGATTCTAAGTCAAATGTGGTATTTATGTATTCGTGTATCATCATTTTCTGTCAGATGAAGTATATTCAGCCATTCCCGGGTCAGTATGTCTCCATGGACCCCGCAGCTGTGATTGATGTGTACGGACTGATAGGAACTCCAGCTCTCTGGAAGGAGCATGCTGCTCTAGTGTGGCGAGTGGGTCCATCTTTCCTGTTCGAAGAAGCTTTGAGCCCTGAGGCCGTGAGTGTCATGTACAGACAAGGCACCGCCTACCAAGGCAACTTCCTGGCTCTGGGCAACAAAGGTGAGTCACAAGATCTTGTGTAAGAATTTCTACAGCATTTGTTTTGTTTACTTGCAGTAAGTCATCCTGGTTAAGAGCATATGATACATGCTGAATCTGTAAATATATTTAATTGTGGTTTTATTAGTAGAACATTATCCTAGAATAACACAAGGTTGTTTCTAGATGCCTTAGGAATGTAGTTTTTTATAAGTCAGTGTTTTGGTTATCTTTTTTGGCATGCGGTAAATCAAGTTTGTCATGGTGCTCATTACATACATGCATGCTGATACACCAATTACGTGCAAATTAATGCAATTGCACAACTATGTTTCTCGTAATAGATAGTGATGATTATGGTCACACATTACATCTGTAAGACAGTTCCTATGTTGTCCCACCTCTCTGTTTGTCCCCAGGGCATGATCCAGATGCTGAGTCTCTCCCTCTCAGGCTGGTTCCCGAGGAGAGGATCTCATTTGGCATCAACCCAGCAATTTCTACATTAACAACTGTCGTGCAGATCAGAGAAAATTACAATGAGGTGGACTGCAGACTGATTGCTAAAGAGGTAAGATGAGTCCATGTTGAAGCTATGAGTTTGTTGTTTTGGTACAGAGTAGCAATCACTGTGTGTAATTACAGATGGGGATAACAAGCCGGGATCACTCAACCCCTGTGTTCCTAGCTCAAAACATCAGCCAGCACCTGAGCGGTACAGCTCGCACCATAGGAGCAGCCCTGGTTGGACATTTTGGTAAATAAAGTATTATTTTGAAAAGTTTACTTGCATTTTAGTTTTTTCTTGCTGAAGCACTTGGTGACTTCTTGGTCCTCTTTCTTCTAGGTGTGCGTACGTTCACCCCCTGCAGTGCATCCAATGGCTTCCTGTACGTCGGCGGACCTGCAGTTGTTCTCAGTCTAGTTGCAATGGCGCCAGATGATAGCTCTCTGTATGCAGCTGTCAAAGTTCTTCTCTCTGTGCTGGAGACCAACTTTGCCATGCAGCAGGAAATGAACCGAATCAATGGATATAAGGTCTGTCGAACCTTTCGAAAAGTACTGGAGTAGCTACACGTTATGCAGAAACAAACATCTAAATATGCTGCCTTACTGTTGAGATCTTTCCTGAAATATATATTGCTCTGCCTGTAGCTGCTAGCGTTCCTGCTGAAGATGAAGCACAATCTGGTCAGCTACAGAACCTTTCAGTTGGTTCTGTATCTCTCCAGGTCAGTGGAGCTGAGCTCTGGGTCCGGTTGCATACAGAACACAGCTGCTTTCCAGGCCCTGCTGTGTGACCTGGAGGTAAGAATCCAAATCTTAGTATATAAGTTCAGCGGATGTAGGAAATGCATAATTTCACGTATTTATTCGGCTTGTTTCTAAGGGCATCTGGAAGCTAATTGCTAACTTGCTGTTTCTCTCTCATTATACCATGTTTTCAGGTGTGGCAGAACACATCAGATAATCTCGACCTCTCAGTTCTGAACCACTTTGCTGAAATCCAGAATTCCTCAAGGTAAATTCCACAGCTTGTGAACAGGTTGTAGCTTTAATTTAATTCATTATTAAGTCACATGGCCAACAAGTTAGACTACACAATAATAAGGGTGTTGGTCAAGATTGACGCCGGACTTTATCGGCTGTTTTGTCAACATCTGCAGCAGCCTTTCATCAGTATTACAGAAATGTACACACACACACACATGTAAATAGTCACGGGAATGTTCTACAGAATCAGTCACAGAGGACAGACAAGAAGAGCTTGACTGAACTTGTGCATGGATTGCTGAATTGGATTATCTGTCTGTGGGAACAGATTGTGATTGATATTAATGCTCTCTCTGTTTCTCAGCAGTGACAGCAGGAATGCAGCGGTCATGCATAGTGTGGGCCTGCTACCAAAGCTGCTATTCGAGCTCTGTGATCCAGCTGTGACCGTTGAGAAGGTTAAGATCATTTCTTGTGTCATCACATCCCTCCTAAAAGCTCACTTGACCCCTCTGGACACAAGCAGGTACAGTCTAGGAATGCACCAGCCACAACGAAGTGCTCCTGTCATACAGTTTTCATAAAAAATATCAGACCAGGTAAGTTTTCAGGAATTGCTCTGTGTTTCAAATATCTCCCATTATCTGGTCAGGCTTGGGCTCTTCCTGGTCTACACACTCCCTCCTCTTAGTAACATGAATGAAGGCTGCAATAAGATATATGACGGCGATCTTTCACAGGATACACCAGGTACACCATATAACACACATCCACAGCTTGTACAGTACATTGCATGCCTCATGGATGACCCTTGTCACCAGTACTGACCCAGAAATGTATCTGTGCTGTAGCGCAGAGGTCTGATCCAGACAGCCTCATCTGGATCCGCAACCAGCTCTTACGATGTCTTTGCGAAATCCTCAACTCGGACAGCCTTCTAATGGAAGAGTGAGTGGCATCTGGTACTACTTGGCTGACCAAAAACTGGAACGAAAACATATTTTCCCAGTATTTCATGTGCCATAATGTCAGGGCAGAAACTAAACTGCATTAGTCGATCATGTTCTTATTCCCCACCAGTCGGCAGAAGGCCTTGTTCGATGCCCTGGGCAGTGATTGGTTCCTGCTCTTCCTTCAGCCCCACCTTCACCCATCCACCTTGAAACTGGGTCTCGTCCTGCTCACACACTTTCTGTCGAGTCCCAGCCAGCAGAGCAGCTTCAGAGAGGGGGTACTCCCAGCAACACTCATAGAGGGCATGGAGGAACCCCTTGCTGTCTTAGGTACATAAAGTTGAATACTTTCTCGAAGTGAAGCCAGAAAATAATTCAATGTTGTCATGCTGGGTCTTTGTGGTGATGACATACGGGTGCTCTTTGGGTCCTTCAGGTGTGCTTATTCAGTCTTGTAAAGGCCTCCCTGCATGGGTGGGATATGGTCTCAAAAAATATAAAATACAAGTCTCCTTCAAAAATAATCCAAGGCACACTGTATGTAGGGTTTTTTTTTAATATCAAAATGCTGTTATTTTACATGGCAATATGTATTTGAAATGGACATTCAATGGATCTTCATCAGGGTCACACCCTGTCTTGGATTATTTCTGAAGGAAAGACATATTGAGAGAATATTCCACTTATGCAGGGTTGAATAAGCAACTTCTATCATTGATTTCTTGCCTTGTCACCAGACAACCTGCGAGCCCATTCTTGGTCTTTGGAGTGCCTCAGCACCACGTGCCCAGGCTTTGATGTTCTACAGGGGCTGCTGATCAGACACACTCACCTGCCTCAGGTGTTTGAAGCCCTGGCTTCTCTGCTGCTGGAGAAGAAGACCAGTCACACTGCAGAGGGAAAGGTGGGTCATTTTGATCATTTTTTATCTTGTAAATCACCTTCATCATCCCTTTTTATAATGCTCTAATGTGTCATCTACAGGTGCATTTGGATGATTTCCTACAGTCATTGATTGACAGCCAAGCAGACACTCCTGCTCAGCAGCTCTGTGTTGAAGCTGCAACAATACTGCTGGCATTAGTCAAAGCCATCATCACTAAGGTGAGAACGTAATAACCGTACACCTTCAGTATTTTTCACCACAAATTGATAATGTATAATACCTAGTATTATTTTAATGTTTTAACAGCCTGTTCCTCCAACAAAGGACATGCCAGGCACTGATGCATCATGGGAGTTGCAGCTCCCAGCAAGTGTGATGCAGTTCCTTTGTCTACTCCATAACCTGCGGCCCAGAGACCCACTGTGGGCGTCACCAGAGTTCCTCCATGCACTCGCTGGAGTCGTGTATCCTCTGGACATTTCAGAGGTTTGTGTGTTATTCTGGATTCATGAAGCCCAAACAGTTCTCACATCGCTGGTCTTATTCACAGTTTTTTTTCCACTTCTTTCAGGATGTGGTTGAGCCTCGCGTAGTGAGTGAAGGTGAGAACTCATTCAAGAGTCCTCCAAAAGGGAAGCCGGTGTGCGACTTCATCCGTATTCTGCTAATGGACAGTCTTTTTAATGTGTCTGCCAACACCAACACACATCCTCTCCTTCTGCTGCTGGAGGTGAATGCACAGACATGAATACAAACAATTATTTACTGTATTTTGTTAGTTGACGGAACACACTCTCATATCGTTATACATGCAACACATACGCATTATTGTCAAAAGGCATTCCCACTGATAAAAGGCTCTTCACTAAACTAAAACACTGCAAAACTCTCATTTCTCCAGAAGGTGCCACTCTTTGCTCAGCTACTAAATAAGGCAGAGCCAAGGTACTGTTGATATAACCATTCACCACTAGGAGGGAGAGAGCAGCAGCAGGCCTGCAGCACTACAGATTTATGTAGAGGTGTTTTTAGCTAGATGAGCTTAACCGGCATGCACACACACCAACACCTACACTTGACACATTAGACAAGGTGTCAATCAATCATTATTACTTGTAACGTATACGTCTTTTTTTAAACTAATAAGCTGCATAAATGTCACAGTTTTCCCCTGAAGGTGCATCGCTGGAACAGACGCAGAGTTTCCAGACTGAGCTGCTGGAGTTGACCATGGACATCTTCCACATGCTCAGCCATGAGGAAGAAAACAACACTCATCTCATCTCACAAGGTAGAATAACGATGCATGCTTTACTCGAAGCTCAAACTGATGACCGTGTTCATGCAAAAAAAGTTTTGTCATCTGAATCCGGCTGCTTTTTTAAATTTTATTTCTCAGACGGCAAGAGTCAGACGCCTGAAGGCCAGATGGGCATGTTGATGGAGAATGTGGTGTTCTTCAGTAAGACTCTGCAGCAGAAACTTTACAGCGGAACATTCTTGGGAGACTCTGATAGTTTGATCAACTTCCTCGCAGATCAGATTGTTGTGGTGAGACGAACACAGAGAGACATGAACATACAGCAGTATACACACACACGCCTCCATGTAGATGCTTAACATGGAAAAATGTGTTTTCACCATAAATCTGACATTTATGGTTCCTTTTTTTTTACACTTGTACCACACTCGTCTTAAAATATGAGAGGAGTGAATAGAAGTCTGCTTCTTTGGAACAGGGTAACAGATTTATATCGTATTGTGATTTTAGCTGTGTTTTAGCTGTGTTTATTTTGGTTGGTGTTATTTTTGTATTTTTCCTAAATTGTGGTGACACATTTTTGGACTACATGATTTTTTATGTTTAATGTCTTGTGTGCTTTGCTGCGTTTTCTTTTTCTTCTAATATCTTGGGGCTCTATCATCTAGTTGGGAATAAGTGTTTTCACTTGAACATGTTATCATTTGGATATTTTTTGTTTCTTTGACTGATAGTTCATAATCAGTCAATAAATCTGCTAATTTCTCTCAATCTGTAAATTGAAGTTAAAAGCAATCTGTTCATTGTCAAAGTGAAGACCGTTACTTTTAACCAGTTGGAGCACTGGATTGTGTAAATCTGCCCATAGGTCACTAATACTTACTACTAATACTACATTCTACTAATACTTTATACTCTAGTCTTATATTATATTATTATACTGATTACAGATACACTGCTGTTCACTTTTAGGCTCTGGAGAAAGGCCAAACTCAGAAAGAGAAGACTGTGTCTGCACTCTACTCGTGCACCAATAAAGTCCTGCTTCACCTCTTGTCTCAACCGCGGCGTTCCCAAGAAGAAAAGGACTGCGTCATCAGGGCATTGCAGACCTTCATGGAACGCTGGGATGTTGTCATGGCGACTTACAATGCAAACGTGAACTTCGTTACATGCCTTCTTCATTGCCTGTTACTGATACGATCGGGCAGGTAATAGTGAATACAAAAAGATGCACACATTCGTGTAGTTGAAAGCCCGAGTTCACTGGTAATTCAAACAGTCACACTTTTTTTTTTTTTTTTTTTTGTAGCTACCCCGAAGGTTTTGGATGTGTTGCAAAGAAAGTGCTGAACAGGAAAGCTTCGTCCCAATTGTTTGCTACAAGAACCAGACATTCTGCACGCCTCAGCGACGGAGCAGACATCACCACAGGTATGAAGGCCGGTATGTGAAGGTTTATTTACATTCATCACTTTAGCCTGACATTTTTGTAGATGTTTTAAGTCTACGGAGATTTAACTAGAGAGTTCAGAAGGAATGTGTGTGTTCCAGATGACAGAGAGCTAGTCTCCTTAGCGGAGGCCTGCTGGTCAAAGGTCATGGCAGAGAGGCAGCACACGATTGAAGAAACCTCCAAGATGGAGATCTCAGCGAGCCACACGGCTGAGACGGGGCCTGTCAGCATGACTGACATCAGCCCTCTGTGGGAGGAGATGGCACGCAAAGCCTGGCTGATACACACAGGTTAACTATACTAATAACTGCAGAAGAAGAAGAAGAAGAAGATTCCTGAATGTTAGCTCTAGGTTTATGGGGAAAAAAAAATTTAAAAACAATTTTTTATTTTTTTTTTCCCCCTTCTCAGAGTCTCAGAAGAAGAATGTGGCCGGCAGTACTCAGAAGAAGTTCGATATGATCAGCAGCGCTGTTCGCTCAGCTTTGGGCAGACTAGGCAAAGATTCGGTAACAGTAGAGGTAAATACACACTCGCGTTCCCTAATTGTTTGGATCTTTGGCACAGGACGGTATAGAGAGATTTGTATGCTTGTCACTGTTGTCCCCTTTGCGTAGTGTGGGGTTGTTACCTTTTCCCAGGTGCCCCAGCGTCCCAGAGCGCTGTGCTCAAACACTCATCCCAAAGTCACTGCTGTGTTTGTGTTGTGGGCCGTCCAGCCCTGTGGGGGTGTTTGATTATTTCTTTAAATGGATTTGGATTATCACAGCTGATTGCCCCTGAGTGGGCATAGTAATTGATATCTGTTAGGCCTATCCACGGGAACACTCAGTACAACACACTGTTTGCTGCTGAAGGTTAAAGACGTGTTTATTGTTGTTTTTCCCCCCAAAACACGTGGCCCACATCATTAGTTCCCCCACAACGCTTAAGACGTTGAGCCATCTGGAGCAGGGAGCGGGGACATATTACTCAGGCACACAGGCATGAAATTACCGCGTCTGTGTGTCGGTCTCACCCCCACAAAGCGTGTGTGTTCTTGTTTGTGTGCTCCTCTTGCCGACAGAAATCGGGTTGGCAATTCTAGTGGTACCAATCTGATGAAAACATTATTCATTTGATGTTATTCTTTATCATATCAGTCTTTGACAGGCTATCAGAGAGGGTGATGAATTGTTTTTTCCATCTGAGAGGCAGGGAAGAAGAGGGAGGGATGTTTTCCTTTTGCCTCTCTGCCGTGTGTTGTACCACTTTGCTCTGAGTAGGTTGCAGCGTGCAGCGAGTGTTCAAAAAATTATATTCAAATCATCAGTAGTGGTCAGTCAGTCTCTTAATTTTCTTGTCATCTTCATGAAGAAACATGCGAGTCATTAATTAATCAACTTATGACCTTTAGTTGACATGTCATGAGCTTATGGTGAGTCTCTTCTTAGTCACTGGATCCATAGTGATGTATTTCGTACGAGCATAGTTTCAGATATCTACTTTTTATAAAACCAAAAAAAGAGTTTTAAAGCCTACTGTAGGTAATGAATGAGAATACGGAGACTGATAGGCAGACTGTGTCCTAAATCAAGCTTCAGCGCAATTCTTCTAGAGATTTATTTCATCAGCGAATGCAGTTTCCATAATCATATCTGTGTCCTCATATTAGAAAGATAATTAACAGCACTAATGATCACGTTAAGTTCATTACACATTCACTGCCAGCCCAGAATGAAGTTGACATTATGTTGCCTTATCATCAAAGGTGGCGTATTGTTGGGAAGTCATTAAAATGGAAATGAGTGTGATGTTATGATGTTAATTGCAGAGGGAAGAGATGAGTTATGTATTTAATGCAGCATTTAAAAAGCCAATGAGGTTCCTATCTGCTAAATAGGGTAATTAATGCTATATATTACTTATGTTTGTCCAAATGAATGAATGAAATTAGGAGATGATGACAACTTGCTGTTTATCTGTCGCAACACGGCTCTAGTTCGCAAACTTCATTATTACTTTTTTTTTTTTTTTTTTTTTTTGTCTGTAATATTTCTATAATCTCCCCTCAAATTACTCCTTTATTTCTTTCTCTGCACAACTTCTCATTTGGAAAGGCAGTCAGTCATTTAGAGAAACAGTTTTCATTTCCAGAGGGTTTGTCAAAGTTTGTCGTCAACTTTTACGCATGGGTTTATTCTGAAATTATGAATTTCAGATTTTTTGCATCTCTAGTATTACAGAAGTAGCCGTTTGTTTTTATTGTACTTGAAATCAATTACTGCATTAATAGGGTTATTCCACAAAACACGGAATTAGCATCTGTAAATAAGACTAGATATAAAGTCTTACTGCATGTTCACTCAGTCAATTAAATGCCTTTCCTGGGTCAGCTGTGAGGATGGACACATGTTGTTTCACTAGTCTCTCAGCGAGCACTGCTGTGATGATGGGCTTAATGAAGCAGTTAACAGTCAGAATATGATCCCAGTGTGTCTGCTGAACATGAGCATCCTGCAGTGTCAACACGGCTCTGTTTTGGGTTTTTCTATTTTTTCTTTTCTTTTATGTTTTAATCAACACACACACACACACACTAGCCTTGCCCTTGACTGTGGCGTGGCTCAGTGATATTAATGTTTATGTTAATTAGATCACACAAACAAATGATTACATTTCCAGGCAGGGTTATTGTAAGACTGTAGCCACTAGCTTATTTTGCCCAGTGAATGCAATTTAGAACAGATGTAATTGTATGAATGCATTGTAATTGCATGAGGAAACAACAATACCATTATGAATATACAATCTCTGTGAACATGATGTGTGTTTACAATATGAGCTAGAGGAAGAGCGATTGTGCCGCCCGCTCTTTTCATTTGCACCCATCGGGTTACTCTCCTTTCTTTGTAGGAGTTTCTGTCCTATATGGAGTCACATCGACAGAGAGGCCACAGCATGTTTGAGAACATGAGGACAAACCACTTACAGGTTTGACAGAAATGTGACTATGAATATATGGTAATAAATGTAATTAAAAAGCCCAAGTTGGATCTGTAATCTATTTTTTTTTTTTTTTTTTTTTTTTTTTATCTCCGTCTCATCTATTCTGTCTATCCGGGGCCTGTTTCTGCATCCCAGTTAAGAGCCAGTGAGTGGGAGCGAGTGAGCTCCAAGTGGCTGCGTGTTGAGGCCGAGCTGTTGAGGGAGAGAGCTGTTTTCGGCCCTGGCCCAGGGCTGCTGCTGAGCCAAGACTGGGTGCAAGATGCTGCTGAAGGACCCAACCGAACCAGATCACGCATCCGCAGAAAGGCTCTGAGACGTTCCAAACGGGTATAGCCTATCAGTGTAGAGCGGGATCTGTGGAGCAGGGTCCTATTTAGTGTTCAATCTATAACAGAGACATATGTTGTTCCAACAGGTGCTAGGAACGCAGTGTCTGGGTTTAAGGACTGGCATGTCTGAGGAAAACAAAAATAGAGCAGAAGGAGACATGGGTAAAGACAAGTGTTTCCTTTTGATATTTTTTAAAGTTTGCTTTTATCAGAATGTGGATGTTGGATGTTGGCTCAGTAGGTACATTTGTTTCCTTTTTTTAACAGAGCCCAAGATCCTGTGTGAAGTTGGAGCAGAGGCTAAAGAGGATGAAGAGGAGGGAGTAGAGGATTTTGACCGTCTGACCTTCTTCCCTGCCCTGAATGAGACACCTGCTGTCACTGATGGTCCAACCAACCCCTTGGCCCCTGAACCCTGCTCCCACACACAAGACTGCCACGACATCCGCATCATCCTGCAGGAGCTGCGCCCTGGAGAGGAGGTGCTGGGTTAAAAACAACATGCCTCCTTCCCACCCTGCTAATATTCACAATCATAATTATCTGATGTAGACTAAGGGATTCCAATAGCCCAGCGCTGCTATCAGAATTTCATCTTTCCTCATTAGTGTAATGTTTTAATGTCGAGACGCAGCTCAGCTCCTCTTATTCTTCCAGTGAGTTAGAAACCAAGGCACATGTTGACAGGGACTCTCATCACTCCGGCAACCAGCGGCGGCTTTTAATGTTTCTGACAGAAGTATTAATAAAAACAGTAGGAGGTGATGCAAGCTGTCTTACATCCGCTTAGTAAGTGTGTGATGTGTGCAAGTGCATCCTGTTGTCTTGCAGTGGTTCAGTGGGAGTCCTGCTGAGCTTCCTGTCAAATCAACACAGTCATTAGCTCTGAAAAATGCGCGCACACACACACACACACACACACACAGTAACACGGTAACACACAAAGGGAGACCCACTCATAATTAGCTTGCCAGCGCCAATAGTGTGATTATGACAGTAATGTGTGTGGGGAGAAATCAATGGTCTGACATTAGCCTCTCAGTCAATAAAAGTCCTCCTTTTCTCTCCTTCTTACCATCATCAGCTAAATCACCCACAGACTGATAACGCATATCTGTCCAGCGCACACTAAGGAGATAAGGAAACAAGTTTATTTTTATGTATTTAATCTTTGACAACAATAAATGTAACTAATTCTTTTCTGAAATCTGAAATTAGAGACAGCGGTCCTGATGCAAGTTTGTATTTACTGATGGAACACTGCCATACAATCCGACCATGATATAGCTCAATGTAAGATTCCTGTGGCGTGAGGCTGAGACTCGCTCACCTTGAATCTTATGAAACGCCTTCACGTCACGTCAAGTGATATTATTCATCATAGCATGTCTCTTATGTGTGCATTCAAACTAGAGGTTCTGATCACTTAGCAGGTTTCCTATTGTGTGTGTGGCAGTGATTAATTCTCCTAATAATGGCCATGCAGTGCCTCCTCCTCTACCAAGTGTGTGACTCTGTTTTCTGGGGGTAGGGAGTCTGATTTGATTAGTATAAATTGTGTGGGCCCTGCGGGGGTGTCGGGGTCCCATATGGTTTTTGGGCGCAGTGTCCCAGAGGGCGTGCAGCGGGGCCAACACAGGGAGACAGCCAGGTGCACACACTCACTGTGAAATGAGGGGAGACAATAGAATTAGCCACACATTATCACAATGCAGTTAGCATTAGCCACAACCGGTGCTGAAAGCAGCATGTGGGTCCACTTTGGGGCTGGATGAAACGCACAGCCACACCGCTCCCCATCAATCAGCTCTGATAATGAAGTGTTCAACTGTGTCTTTTTAATAATGATTAGAATATGTGATTAAAATGATCAATCAAGTAAAGCCTGAAGTGCCTGCGTTGCTGCCATGTCATGTCCCGGGAGAGAAGTGTGCTGATGTGTATTGTGGCGCTCACTCAGGGCTTAATGCATCTCCCTGTCTCTCTCTTCGCTCTCTGTGTAGGTAAAGGCTAAGATGTGTGTAGTGACGGTGAGCGGCCTCAGAGTGACAGAGGGGGTGCTGCTGTTCGGGAAAGAGAGCCTGCTCTTGTGTGAGGGATTCACTCTTAGTCCTGCTGGAGATGTTTGTTGCAGGAATCATCACCCCAGCAGGTACAGCCGTGTGTGCCGTGCGTGCCGTGCACGTGTGTTACAGCAGAACATAGAATGGACACACATTAGCTTTTCAGTTGTTCTGATCAGTCATGTATGTGTCCCTCTCTGTCTCTGCCAGTGTGAGGGATTCCTTTATTTCCACCATGCTGAGTAAAGAGCTGCCACCAGCCCGCTGCAGGTGCTGGCTCTATGAGGATATCAAGGATGCTCGCTTCATACGTTTCCTCTTGGAGGTCAGACATCCTAATGCTCAAGCAGATGCATTGTATTAACATGCATCTTATATTCACATTACTGTTAGATGTAGAAGTTTGTCTCTGTTCACTCATAGAAATCAGATTTGTTTTGCATTTCACTTTTTCCTTCTGTTGTTTTTGCTAAGTGGGGGATTAGAGAATCTGTTAAGATGCATGTTAAGTAAAAATATGTTGTTGAGTGTAAGTTACAAAAGAGCCACTGTGCCTCTGTTCATATCAGGACAACGCTATCGAAGTCTTCATGAAAAACGGACTTTCAGCCTTCCTTGTATTCCTGAATAAAGACCACGTCTCTGCATATAAAAGGTGCCACATTTATATAAATTGGAGGTTCAATTTATTTTTTATAATTTTTAGCATTATGATGACTCTGATCTTCATTCTTTCCACTCTTGTTCTCCCTTCAGGTTGTGCATGGTAGTGCCAGCATTAAAAGGCAGAGGGGTTGCTGAGGTGATTGCTAATGCCAGGTAAGGTTCCACAGTCACAATCATCCAACGGCAATATTTCAAGACAGTAACATGTAGTCACTATCTTTATTTTATCAATTAAAACAGTAAATACATAAAAAGATTTTTGTGTGACATATAGTAAGTATACTATGCAATGACATTAGTTTGTGATGCTGTTTGGTCATTTGATTGGCTTGTGTTCCACATTTCTTATTCTCCACACATCTTGATTGACTGTAGCCACTGAGTTTGGCACCATCAGTCCGTGATAAGTCCTTATCCTTTTCTCCTCAAACACGTCACTTCCTCCTCCTCCTCTTGTAAGCCTTTGCCTCTGCTCTTGACATGTCTGAAGGCATGTCCTACACAGGCTGCTCTCATGGACCAGATACACATCTTCCTCTGCTTTAGATTTTTCCTTCTGCATCCCCTCACCATCCCTCTGAACATACGATAGAGGATTTTCTTTCACGTTCACCTTTGTGAGGTTGCGTAGAACTTTCAAAAACTCTGGTAGATTGATGAAGCGGTTATCAAACAGACCTAACTCTTGAAGACTATGTAGAGCATCCATAGTGGGCGGCAGTGTGTCTAGCTGGTTCATTCCCAGATTGAGACTCTTCAGGCTGATGAGAGACCCTAACGTGGACGGTAAACCTGCAGAGATTAGGCGGTTGTTTGAGAGGTTGAGGTGGGTCAGTCCCACCAGGTTGCCGATGGACTCGGGCACAGATTCCAGCTTATTGCTGTGTAGATCCAACCATCTCAATGACGAGAAGTTCCCGATGTTATCTGGGAGTTTCTCTATCAGGTTGCGGCTCAGGTCCAACTCATCCACGTTGGTCAGTTTTAGGAGACACTTTGGGAAGATCGTTATAAGCATGTTGCTTAGGGTGAGTCTGCGCCGTCCATCCGCGGTCATCCTTATTGCCTTTTTGGCAAGCTTGAGGGTCAGCTTTGTCCCTTTGTCTCCCTTCCGTTTGGGCATGGTACTGCAACACACAGAGAATTAACATGACAGTTTAAAATTTCAGCACAGCTTCACTGTTGCCCCCAAGAGGCTACTTTCCAATAATTCATCTTATCTACACCACCACATAGTACTATAGCAAATAAATGTGTGTGTGTGTGTGTGTGTGTGTGTGTGTGTGTGTGTGTGCGTGGCTGATGTGATTTATTCAGATACAAGGGCTTATGTATGGCCCGGGGCAGTAGGGAAAGCATGCTCTCTGAGGTATGAGAGCTTGAGGTGTGTGTGTGTGTGTGTGTGTGTGTGTGCGTGTGTGTGCGCGTGCGTGCAGTGTTATATCTGCACTAGTGCGTGCTCACCCAGTGTTGCCCATGGGTGTATTTAAGAGCACAACTCTCTAATTAAGGCTAATGCAGGGGAACAATAGGAGAGAGGCGACACTGGGTAATACAGCAAAAACAAATGAGTGCCGATGCTCCCTCACCATTCAACTGATTGAGCTGTTTGGCTCTTTTCATGCAAGGAAGGTGTGTGTGTGTGTGTGTGTCTGTGCTTCATATGGACGTCTCTCTCTGCCACACACAGTGTACTGACAGACATGGATGTACTCTATTACAGTACATGTGCGCGTGCACAAAGAGTCAAATCAGGACTTTGATAAATGATAGTTGGGGAGTGTGATGAGGGCTTTGCTCTCCTTCCCTTCCTGTCTAAAAGAGCAAGGTGTGTGTGTCTGTTTGTGTCTGTGTTACACCCCAAGGCCCTCTCTCGCCTCATTCATCATCCTCAGGATGAGAGGGGTTATCCGCTGGTGCTTGTTCCCATTATAACCTCCTATAGAAAACTATTGCATGAAATTATTGCCTGCAATTAGATAACACATACTGGGCCAAATGCAATGATTGATTTAGTGTAGTTTCACCAAATAATTTGGCCAGGAGTTATTGGACGAAGGGAGGAGTTATTGGTAGCCCCTCCCTGTCTAAACCCATTTACTGTTTGCATCCTTGTACGTTTTTCAGTTTGTATCCTACTGTGTTCTTGTTTAAAACTTGTATCTACATTTTAAACATGAATGAAGATATGTACTCACCATATTATGTCTTCTTTCTTTCCGAGTTGATGAGTGTCTTCTGTTTTAGAAACACACCAACAACAGCTTTAGCTCCTGTGAACTGGCCATTCAGCTCGAAGCCTCTCCCCCTTATACAACCCCCCCCCTCCCACATTACTGAAGTCACAATGGTGTGGCACAGCAACAACACATAAAACACCTTCTGATTCGGTCAGCACGTAGAAGTTGTAATAATACCTGGTGATCCTATGTGGCGGCGATTGGAGAGGATAGATCAGGAATGCAGTGTTGCGTCTATCACCATCTCCCTGGTCTCCCAACACCAAACAGGGAAAGTCGAGGTTCCTCTTGTTTAATATCGTTACTTAGCAACTGGGGTGGTTGGCGCCAGGACTTTATTGCCGTGTTACTGGCCTCAGAGGGAAAAGAGATTTAAGGAGCAGTTGAATGCTGGACTAATCTAGGTTAAACACATTTAGATGTGTTGCATGAGTGAAATATGGAGCAACATTTGTCATTTATCTACTGTAGTATAGAGGTTTTGTTTAGCCAAACACGTTCTGGTCAATTGATTAGAAAGAAGATACTTTGATCGAGCAGTTTACTCGGTGGTTTGTTAAAGAGAAACTTTTTGAGTCTGTGCCTATTAAAGGATCACCTTACAATATTCTTTGAACAAACACCTAACAACAACTAAATGAAAAAAACAGCTGTAGTTTGTCTTAGTTAAGCAGGAAGTCTCATTTTTCTTTAAAATCAGTGAACTGTTCTGTTGTTCCTTGTTTAACCAGTAATCATTAACCTCTGCTTGTCATTTGAAAACGCACTGCACAAGGACAATACCACTTCCTCTTTTAAATATCACATCTTGCTGATGGAGGCTAGTCGGATAACTTACAGTGCTACTTCAAGTATATTTCCTCACAAGCCACAGATGTCAACATGTGCTACTTCCTCCACATCTCTACTCATTATTTATGCTACAAGGTGTAGCTCACTTCCATCCCATAACTGCTCCTGCAGCTGTGTACACACGCGAATTTCAGTTTCACTTGCTCACCTCCACTCTGCCGCTTCACAACTCCTCGGTTTGACATGTCAACATGGGTTGCTCGGCAACAGAGCTAGCATAAAACTTTGTGTGGGGGGTGCAGTGATTAGCCTCTGATGCTAATTCATGGTATTTGTTTGTTTTTGTTTTTTTATTGTGCTTTAGGAAGACTCCTGTGGTTGAAAAGGCAGCCCTTGTTAAATGGCAGGTAATGCAATAAACAGACCTTCAGCCATTTGGTTTTGTCAGAGTTTTGTTGTGTTTAAAGATAAACTAACTCCTTTAACATCAGTAGAGACTGTCAACATGTTGAACAGATATGACATTAGCCCATTTAATCCCAGTGGTGCAATGCAACTAAATACATTTAATTAAGTACTGTACTTAAATACAATTGTTAGGTACTTGTACTTTACTTCTCATGCCACTTTATTCTTCTACTCCAATAGATGTAAAAGGGAGAATTTGTACTTTTCACTTCTCTACATTTCTGACACCTTGGCAAACAAAACATGCAAAGAGCTTACAAAGTATGCTATTTTGTTATAAATTAAACTACTCAGCAGTACAAGTACAGCTGACATAATTAGTCGATTAATCAATGAGCCGATTTACAGAAAATTAATTTGCAGCTTTTTTGATGAGCATTAAAATGATTGTTCATGCAAAAACATTTTATGATTTCAGGTTCATAAATGTGATGATTATTTTCTGATTTCCCTTTTATGTATTTAAATTACCATATAATTATCATTTTTTTATTGGTTGGACAAAACAAACATTGTTTGGCTTCTGGCTAATTGTGACAGTAATTCTGTAAATAAGTTATTTACAATCAATCAATTAATGGAGAAAATAACCAGCAGATAAATCCATAATGAAAGAAATAATAATTTGTAGTCTTAAACAAAATAGGTCTAATCAGGAAAACGTACTTAAAGTTAGGTAATTGTTTTACTATGTACATTGAATACAATTATTTTTACTGTGTGGTATTAGTAATACTTCCTCCGCCACTGTTTATAAGTATATTACTTCATATCACTCCTGTCCTCCAGAGAGGGGAAATAAGTAACTTTGAGTACTTGATGCATCTGAACACCATCGCTGGGAGGACATACAATGACCTGATGCAGTATCCAGTCTTCCCCTGGGTCCTTGCTGACTACCAGTCAGAGGTTAGGTCACACACAGTGACATCTTTGTCTTCAACATTCATATTGTGTGTGTGTGTGTGTGTGTGTGTGTGTGTGTGTGTGTGTGGTGTAATGAAAGTGTTTGATTTATTTCTGTCCTTGATAGATGCTTGATCTGTCAAATCCTTCAACTTTCCGTGACCTGTCTAAGCCAATGGGAGCTCAGACAGAGAAAAGGAGACAGATGTTCGTCCAAAGATATGAAGAAGTTGAGAATATTGAGGGTGAAGGTATCTCATCAGCTCTTTACGTTGCATTCTTCTTGTCTTTTGCTGTTCACTGAACTTTTATTCCACGTACTTCTACTCTAGGAGATATGTCGGCACAATGCCACTACTGTACCCACTACTCCTCAGCCATCATCGTATCCTCCTTCCTCGTCAGGATGGAGCCGTTTTCACACACCTTCCAGGCACTGCAGGTTCGGCCTTGGACACTCACTCTTGGTCATTTGTATGCCCCTTAAATCAATAAGCCACAAGAAAAAAAATCAATTTCTTAAGTTCAAAATAGCATAGAATAGAAAATGTAATATTTTTTTCTGTGTGAACCCACTCACATGGAGAAGTACAATACTAAACAATTAGGTCTTCACAACTTGTGCGACTATATTGCAGCAAACTTTTAATCAGGATATCAAAAGGTCAATCATAACAGCTTAGAATGATAAAAATAATACAGTAAGTTTACTGAATGATGATAAACGGGATAAAGTGTTTCTGAATCTATAACCTTTAGAACTGGAAGGGGTTTCGCTGATGAATCAAAGAAAGATTTTAACCTCGGACAGCGACAGCACAAGATTTTCAGTGCCGTTACCGTTTCTTTTTCCCTTGAATACAAGGCTCATCACACACATTAATACATGCATACAAATCTACAAAATCTGAATGTAATCACTGCTGAGTACATCAGGTGTGGTCTTGATTTTTTCTGAAGAAATGGAGGAAGTTTATTGTGCATCAGTCACACAAACCCACAGGCCCTTCTGCAAACCCAGTGCTCCAGATGCCCACTGATATTCATCACTATTTTTTACTTTTAAACACAAACCTCCTGATAATGTGCTTCTAACATGAACTATTTTCAGTGCTTCAGATCCTGTTTTAATCCTGTTTTGAGCCAAAAGCAGATTATAGGGAAGTTTCAATATATATGCAAATAATTACAGAAAGCATGTAAAAGAAGCCAATGCAAACAGCCCCAGATGTTACCAAATTACAATACAGCATCCAATTGATTATAATGAAAAGGCATGCATATTTGATAGTCAGAATAAAGCAATAAAGATGTTAGTCTGGTGAATTACAGTGGCTTTTTGTCTTCTGAAGCACATAACGGGTGTGTAGTAATATCCATAACTGGATTTACATCTCTAACCGAGTTTACCAGTATATATGCTATTTTCATTCATTGAGATAATTGTTTTTCTCTAAATTACATTCTCCCTCATGAGATTTCCATCATAGATTATGGAATTTCACAGAAAGATGAAAAGCTTCCTTCAAATAGTAGCAAATATTTACTGCTTACATAATACAATATAAAATATGGCTCACTACACTGAATCAAGCATAACTACGTTATTAATATGCCTGTTGCAAAGTTTGGTTCAGCAGTGCGCCGGGGGTCTGACGGTGCTGTGCCTCGTCTTCCCGCAGGGAGGGTTTGACATCCCAGAGCGGATGTTTTACAGTGTAAAGAAGGAGTGGGAGTCGGCCTCCAGAGACAACACAGGGGACGTCAGAGAGCTCATCCCAGAGTTCTTCTACCTGTCTGACTTCCTGCTCAACTCCAACCACATCCAGCTGGGTCAGTCACAAATATCCTCCTCTGTGTGTCGAAATGAATGACTCAAAGTACGAGAGATGTTTGCCTTTTACAAGCACCGTTTACTTAAGTGGATTATAATTGTTTTATTTATTTGTCAACAAATAATCAAAATACCCAATCCAACAATGTGTTAGTCCGTCTACCCTGTTAGATTTGGTTAGTTTGCTTTGTTTGAATTACTATGTTTTTATTTATATTCATTTTTGAGAAAATTTAGAAATTCAAATAACTAGCTTTGTAAATTACCTCATTTTTTTAAATGTAATTGAACCATGTGGGTGGCACTGGGGTGCTTTAAAGGTAACCCCTTTACAAAACACATAGAAGCCTTACAAACTAGCGCAATGCATTTCCTTCCTCATAAAACATTTGGTTAGACAATTTTGAAAGGACAAAAATGTGTGCACCTGCATTGTTTACATTGACTAGCAGAAATGTAGATTGCATTACTCAATTGCTAAAGCACATAC